TGGCTGGAGTTCCGAAGACACTAATCACAAATGTCTGAAAGTCCCCCACTGCAGTCTGACAGAATTTCTCGCTCATTTTACGTCTGCAGCTGTGCAGTTCTCGCTCACCGTCTGGTAGTTCGCACCGTATGCACGTCCAATGCGCAAAACCAATCAGGCCTTACTTGAGGCATTTCCGGTAGTCTCTTTTGCTCTTTTCCTTATTGTCAGGTCGATTAGCTTCTACAAGCTCATAACTGTAACCCTTGGTGGGTAAGTCTTACCTTCGGAATGTGTCCTTAAGAGCCGCAGACAGCGTGAGTACCACTAGGATATAAATGTTGGGCAGAATAAGGACTCAAGACCCAAAAAAGGCAGAGATTGTGCTTATTGAGGAAAGAAAAAAGAGCCGATAACCTTAGACCAGCTCTCTGCTGTACAATGAGGTGAACTGTGCGGGCAAAGTCAGTGTAATGACTGGAAAAGTGAAGCAGAAAACCTCAGTCGTCCAGGATGATGATGATCTGCTACTAGACATATCGGAAAATCATCTGCGAGAGACAATCCACTGCCTTCCATGGCTATCTGCTTCCGTGTACGAAACATCACAAATCCATGGTTTATCGGCTACTCCATATCTAGGGTGAAGGGATAAATGACTACCCAATGGGAGCCCACATAAGGCTCGTGGGTCTCAGTACTGTGCTGGGAAGAGCCGTGCCCAAAAAGAACATGATTACCGTTTTAACTCCTACAAGAACAGCCGTTCTCCCACAGTACTTTTGGGATGGCTCAAAAAAAGCGAATTAGTAAAGAGGTACTCACTTTGCGACAGGATAATCATATGGTAGTTTTACTCGCTCGGGATCCAGAATGAGTACTCCAAGCTCATACGAACGTATCATTAGTTGTGTTTTGTTTTTCTACAATAAGCATAACGAAGATTTGAGCAGTCTTCTTCAATTTGAAAACATCAATCGGGAATTTTCAATTTGAAAGATAGCAGCAAGCCATGTGTGGGTCACACCCCGGTTAAGATAACCAGATCACCATTAATATCACCGTGCGAAGCCACACGATATACCATGTATTTTACTTAAGTAGCAACAGCGCGAACCTGAAGTGCACCCCAGGCAGCTTTCGAGAGGTTGGCGCTAGTGACGAGTATCCACTGCGGTGTGCCATCCACGATATCAGTATAAGTCTGAAAACAATTCAAACTGAGAAATACTGTGATAACTACATTCCTGTTTACCACTGCAGTTCGCGCTTTGAAAGTTATCACGAGAAGGTTGAGCCCGTGAGCGAAAGTCTGGAGTGCAGGCGGCACTGGAAGCCGCCTGTAGTCCAGACTGACGCCTGAGCCTCTTCTGCTTAGCCATCAAGATGAGAGGAAGAGAGCGGCCTTGGTGCGGTTAGCACACTAGACCGGCAAGCATGATGACCGGTTCCAACCTCGCCTGCAGTCCAGACTTTCCGAAAACTCAGCATTCTTTCTAACTAAGAATTACTGTTTAACGAACCAAATAGATCAGAAAAATGCTGAACAAAAAGAACCTTCACGTGAGGCATCGCTTTACTACGACCTTTCGCTTCACTTCGCCATTTACACATTAAATCTCGCAACCATGGCTGCCGTTTTGCTGTTGCATCCTAGAAAGGAAAACCACTGAAACGCTCTTCTCAGCAAACAAATTCTTCTATGGTACCTGATACGGTAACGAATCGCCGGCATTGTAGCCCTCTAACGACATCCTCACATCTTCCACACATGGATAGATAAGATAAAGGCGAGGTGACTCTGACAAGGGAAGGATACCAACTCGTCCTGGCCATTCAGAATGAGATGTATACTCCTAGAAGCGTCTTCGGACGCTGATATCAGATCTGACTTCCAAATCTGCTAAACGATTCTGGGTGGAGAGTTACGGACCTTTTTTGCTACCGTGCTTAACCATTGCGGTGCGACCCTGCCCATGCTTTGCGCTCGTAAACCCCTCGTGACCCGGTTGCCGCCGTGGCTCGATGGCGCAGCAGGTAAGTGGATGGCTTCATAGTAGTGAGACGGAGAGGAGTTCGAGAATACCTTGATGGGGAATTGTCGTATTTATGGGGAGAGCAATTATTTTACGTCTTGAAGAAGAAGGGACGCGCGGATGCTGAGGAAGACACTTGGGTAAGTAGTTTCTGCATACCTGTCCGACACCACGACCCCTCCTTTGCTTCTTACAGGACGCCTAATGTGCCGACTACTTCAGGGGTTTTTATTTTAGCTTCACGTGAAAGCATTCATCTGCGTTGACAGCTTCATATCGACAGCATATATTTTCGTATTTAATGGAAACATCAAAGGCTTGGTCCACGATCAGGAATAAAGTTGGAAATATGGTGTCGCGAGGGTAGTGGTCCGCAAGGAACAACCTTGTACTGGTTTACGGCGAAAAAATTGTTAGGGAGGGGTGTGCTACATATTAAAGAACAGAAATAGTACTCCAAAGTGAGGACCCAATCCTTCGAACCAGTGGCTCGGTCTCCAGACTCCGCCTTCAAAGCCCATCATCCAATGAAAAACGAAGCTGCAGGACGAAAAAGCATGAAAATCGTAAGCTCACTTGTAAGGTCGTAGAGTTCTTATAGTGAATAAGCTGTGTGGATGAGGGCGTAGTGTAGGAGAAAATTGACTCACTGGGGCAACAGTACAAAAGTGGCCTTGAACAATGGGGTATTCTGATCTGAATGTGTGAACGGCGGTGACGGAGTTTTTTTCTGGACCTTTTTCCAATTACCGAGTTACCAGCAGCTCTAGTCTGCGAAACCCACTAATAGACACTATCTGATGAGATAGACGATTTTATCGCAGTGTTGTGCCTTCAAGCGAGCAACAGTGTTCGATATGCGCCAATCACAAAAAATGAGATTAAGAGCAAGAAAAGAGAATTCTTGCACAAAGGAGTGAAGCTGCGAATTAAAAACAATTTAGCTGCAACCATTCAGCTGCGGGAGCAGACTTCCCGATCCAGATGATATGTAATGAGCGAATATTGCGAGAGAACTCCTCGAACTCTTCTGGAGTTAGTGTAAAAAGGTCAACCTGCTGAAATACCCGATTAGAAGAAAGAAATAGGTTCAAGAAATCGTAATGCTACTGTAAGGGATTTCAACTGTTATCACTTTCAGATGCCCGAGAGATCCGTATGTTGCGTCCTCAGTAACGAAGCTATACTCCCACTCACGCAGTCGTCAAGTCGAATTATACTGGTTGTAGTAGAACAAGTGCGATCGCCCACAGGAATATGGATAAAAACATCTCTTGCAATCTTCTTTTCTTTACGGATTAGTGATCAAACAATATGAAGACCACGCAATATCTTTCAGCAGTTCTTACTAGGTGTGATAGCACCAGAGTCCGGCAGAACATTTCCAACTATGGTGGACAGGTCGCAAAGATGTTGGCTGATATTGTGGGCGTGAGTGAAGAGAGCTACCAGAGATGACGAATTCTTTCGTTGGCCACACACGTTGTCATCCTATAGGATGATGAACAGTTCACGAGCTCCAAGCAGATATGCATGTGTATTTGGTCCCTTGCTTGAGCTAGTTAGGCAAAAGTGTAAGTTTCCACGAAAGTCGTTCGCGGGGCTCAATAAGTAGCAGGGAGGGGGTCGTGGTGGTCGGACAGGTATGCAAAACTACTTCCCAAGTGTTTAGCATGCGTTTCAAGAAAAAGCAAAACTACGAAATGCATCAAGGATTCGAACCTCCGTCTCACTACACTATGAAGCCATCCACTTACCTGCTGCGCCATCGAGCCACGGCGGCAGCTGGGTCACGAGGGGTTTACGAGCGCAAAGCATGGGCAGGGGGTCGCACCGCAATGGTTAAGCACGGTAGCAAAAAAGGTCCGTAACTCTCCACCCAGAATCGTTTAGCAGATTTGGAAGTCAGATCTGATATCAGCGTCCGAAGACGCTTCTAGGAGTATACATCTCATTCTGAATGGCCAGGACGAGTTGGTATCCTATTACGACTCTGAGGAATAAAACTATGATATAAGGGACGATTTTCAAGCAAGTAGTGTGGCAGATCTTACGTGATCCCTTTCCTCCTTGGAGAGATCGTAAAAACTGCGAGAACAGCCACGCTTCCTTGTTATCTCCAAGAGACCCAATGGAGCTACACTGAGCAAGGAATAAACGACGGCTGTCACGGTTCGGAACTGGACGATCCCGAAGTAAGGCGAGCCAGCGATGGATGCCCGAACTAAAAAAATTGGTTGGATTCTAGTGAGCATGCAGAATTCTTAGCTTTTTAAGCCTGAAAGAGCAGCGGGTGAACTCACTTTAGTCAACTTGTCAAATTGATGGTAGCCCGGAACGGAATACACTAAGCGGTCAGAAATACCACTGAAGTCACAGTTACGAATACGATCTATCCAGAAGGTGACATCCGGAAGACGATATTCGGCCAAGTATGAACACAAATCGTTGGCGAACTCGCTTGTGTCTGTTGTACTGAAAATGTTCAGCCAACGTTGACATCACTCCAACTCTTATTTCATTCCAACCCACTTTAACCTAAATGGTGAAACCCCACCCCCTACTCCAAATGGTAGTGAAGCTCGGCTCAGACCCAGAACATACAAGGTAGAGCTCATATCTAGGAGATGGGGAGTGGGTGCGTAGTTCACTTAAACATGACACAAAAATGATCGTGAGACAGATCCATCTGAGAAAAATTACTCCCTGGCGTTCGCTGACGCATGTCTATGATAGTCTAATAACAGCAAGATCCCACCAGATGCCACTCGCCGCTGCTTCCGGGTGAAGCATGGGGTTTCCCATCCTTCCCCCTATACTCCTCGAAATCCGCGTAATTAGGCACTCCTCCCTTTTCGCGGTCCTTTGTTTTCACTTTAGAATAGCTCGAGGACCAGTGTGGATTCAAAGCATATTCAGCGATTGCATGCCGTGGGGTCTGAGTATGACTCTACAGTGCTGACTGACGCATCAGTTGGAAAAAGGGAGAAGAAAGTGCCAAACAATGAACTAAATGAGCTCGTCAGTTTTTTTCAGTTGAATCAGCGAAGGAAGAAGCGCGAGGAGAGGTCAAGAAACTTTGCAGGTTTGGCAAATGCTCATAGGCGCACGTCCGTGAAACCACTGAAGAAGCGTAACAGTCGAGCGACGGGCGGGCGCCTAACCATAAGTCACTGGGTGATGACTTTCACGCAATATTAGCCTCTGACAGTCTTACCACGCAGAGGGTAACAGCCAAGCCATGGGAGGGCGCTCACACCATCTGGTGGAGACTCACACGACACAAGTCTCTGGCAGCCCTGCCACACACTTTTGATCCTGCGAATGTGATACACCCCATGCAACTATAGAGCTGAGCACCTTGCATTGAGAAAGATCCCGACAGTTAGATAAACGAGAATGTGTCTTTGAATTCTATACGTCTAGTTTAGAGAAAAACATCACTTTATAAGAAAAATAACATCTTAGTCGTCTTACATTATTACCTTGAATCCGAAATCGTTCCACTCGCATAATAAAAACACTGAGTTTTTTTGTACCAGTCACCTGTAATGTAAACTACTCACCACTAGAGTGCTCACCGTCTGGTAGTCGCACCGTATGCACGTCCAATGCGCAAAACCAATCAGGCCTTACTTGAGGCATTTCCGGTAGTCTCTTTTGCTCTTTTCCTTATTGTCAGGTCGATTAGCTTCTACAAGCTCATAACTGTAACCCTTGGTGGTAAGTCTTACCTTCGGAATGTGTCCTCAAGAGCCGCAGACAGCGTGAGTACCACTAGGATATAAATGTTGGGCAGAATTAACGGACTAGCAGACCGCCAAAAAGGCAGCAGATTAGTGCTTATGAGGCAAAGAAAAAAAGAGGCCGATATAACCTCGTAGACAGCTTTCTGCTGTAGTACAAGTGAGGTGAACTGTTGCGGCAAAGTCCAAGTGTAAATGAACTGGAAAAGTGAAGCAGAAAAAGCCTCAGTCGATCCAGGAATGTGATGGAGATCTGGCTACTAGACATATCCGGAAATCAAATCTCGCGAGAGACAATCAGCACTGCCTTCATGGCTATGCTGCTTCCGTGCTACGAAACCATCACAAAAATCCATGGTTATCGCTACTCCAATCATGGGAAGGGATATAATGACTACCCATCGGGAAACCCCACATCAAGGCTGTGGTCTCAGTACTTGTGCTGGAAGGAGCCGGTGGCCCCAAAAAAGAGACAGTGATACCGCGTATTTAAGTTACCTCACAAGAACAGCCGTTCTCCCACAGTACTTTTGGGATGGCTCAAAAAAAGCGAATTAGTAAAGAGGTACTCACTTTGCGACAGGATAATCATATGGTAGTTTTACTCGCTCGGGATCCAGAATGAGTACTCCAAGCTCATACGAACGTATCATTAGTTGTGTTTTGTTTTTCTACAATAAGCATAACCAAGATTGAGGCAGCTCTTCTTTAATTGAAACCATCAATCAGAATTTTGAATTTGAAAGAATAAAGCAGCAAGCCATGTTGGGTCACAGCCTATAAGATAACCAGATCACCATTAATATCACCGTGCGAAGCCACACGATATACCATGTATTTTAGTTAAGTAGCAACAGCGCGAACCTGAAGTGCACCCCAGGGGCGAAGTTTCCGAGAGAGGATTGGCGCTAGTGACGGAGTAGTCCACTGCGGTGGTGCCATCCACGATAGTGCGAGTATAGGAGTCTTGAAAACAATTCAAACCTGAAATAATGTGATAACTACATGTCCTGGTTTACTCAAACTGCAGTTCGCGCTTTGAAAGTTATCACGAGAATGTTGAGCCGTGAGCGAAAGTCTGGAGTGCAGGCGGCACTGGAAGCCGCCTGTAGTCCAGACTGACGCCTAAGCCTCTTCTGCTTAGCCATCAAGATGAGAGGAACAGAGCGGCCTTGGATGTCGTTAGCAACATAGACCGGCAAGCATGCACTGACCGGGATTGCAGACCAGGTCGCTGCAGTCCAGACTTTCCGAAAACTCAGCATTCTTTCTAACTAAGAATTACTGTTTAACGAACCAAATAGATCAGAAAAATGCTGAACAAAAAGAACCTTCACGTGAGGCATCGCTTTACTACGACCTTTCGCTTCACTTCGCCATTTACACCATTAAAATCTGCTCACATGGCTGCCGTTTTGCTGTTGTCTTCCATAAGAAAGAAAAACCCTGAAGTACGCTCTTCCAGCAAACAAATTCTTCTATGGTACCTGATACGGTAACGAATCGCCGGCATTGTAGCCCTCTAACGACATCCTCACATCTTCCACACATGGATAGATAAGATAAGAGGCCGAGTGGTTCTGACAAGGGAAGGATACCAACTCGTCCTGGCCATTCAGAATGAGATGTATACTCCTAGAAGCGTCTTCGGACGCTGATATCAGATCTGACTTCCAAATCTGCTAAACGATTCTGGGTGGAGAGTTACGGACCTTTTTTGCTACCGTGCTTAACCATTGCGGTGCGACCCTGCCCATGCTTTGCGCTCGTAAACCCCTCGTGACCCGGTTGCCGCCGTGGCTCGATGGCGCAGCAGGTAAGTGGATGGCTTCATAGTAGTGAGACGGAGAGGAGTTCGAGAATACCTTGATGGGGAATTGTCGTATTTATGGGGAGAGCAATTATTTTACGTCTTGAAGAAGAAGGGACGCGCGGATGCTGAGGAAGACACTTGGGTAAGTAGTTTCTGCATACCTGTCCGACACCACGACCCCTCCTTTGCTTCTTACAGGACGCCTAATGTGCCGACTACTTCAGGGGTTTTTATTTTAGCTTCACGTGAAAGCATTCATCTGCGTTGACAGCTTCATATCGACAGCATATATTTTCGTATTTAATGGAAACATCAAAGGCTTGGTCCACGATCAGGAATAAAGTTGGAAATATGGTGTCGCGAGGGTAGTGGTCCGCAAGGAACAACCTTGTACTGGTTTACGGCGAAAAAATTGTTAGGGAGGGGTGTGCTACATATTAAAGAACAGAAATAGTACTCCAAAGTGAGGACCCAATCCTTCGAACCAGTGGCTCGGTCTCCAGACTCCGCCTTCAAAGCCCATCATCCAATGAAAAACGAAGCTGCAGGACGAAAAAGCATGAAAATCGTAAGCTCACTTGTAAGGTCGTAGAGTTCTTATAGTGAATAAGCTGTGTGGATGAGGGCGTAGTGTAGGAGAAAATTGACTCACTGGGGCAACAGTACAAAAGTGGCCTTGAACAATGGGGTATTCTGATCTGAATGTGTGAACGGCGGTGACGGAGTTTTTTTCTGGACCTTTTTCCAATTACCGAGTTACCAGCAGCTCTAGTCTGCGAAACCCACTAATAGACACTATCTGATGAGATAGACGATTTTATCGCAGTGTTGTGCCTTCAAGCGAGCAACAGTGTTCGATATGCGCCAATCACAAAAAATGAGATTAAGAGCAAGAAAAGAGAATTCTTGCACAAAGGAGTGAAGCTGCGAATTAAAAACAATTTAGCTGCAACCATTCAGCTGCGGGAGCAGACTTCCCGATCCAGATGATATGTAATGAGCGAATATTGCGAGAGAACTCCTCGAACTCTTCTGGAGTTAGTGTAAAAAGGTCAACCTGCTGAAATACCCGATTAGAAGAAAGAAATAGGTTCAAGAAATCGTAATGCTACTGTAAGGGATTTCAACTGTTATCACTTTCAGATGCCCGAGAGATCCGTATGTTGCGTCCTCAGTAACGAAGCTATACTCCCACTCACGCAGTCGTCAAGTCGAATTATACTGGTTGTAGTAGAACAAGTGCGATCGCCCACAGGAATATGGATAAAAACATCTCTTGCAATCTTCTTTTCTTTACGGATTAGTGATCAAACAATATGAAGACCACGCAATATCTTTCAGCAGTTCTTACTAGGTGTGATAGCACCAGAGTCCGGCAGAACATTTCCAACTATGGTGGACAGGTCGCAAAGATGTTGGCTGATATTGTGGGCGTGAGTGAAGAGAGCTACCAGAGATGACGAATTCTTTCGTTGGCCACACACGTTGTCATCCTATAGGATGATGAACAGTTCACGAGCTCCAAGCAGATATGCATGTGTATTTGGTCCCTTGCTTGAGCTAGTTAGGCAAAAGTGTAAGTTTCCACGAAAGTCGTTCGCGGGGCTCAATAAGTAGCAGGGAGGGGGTCGTGGTGGTCGGACAGGTATGCAAAACTACTTCCCAAGTGTTTAGCATGCGTTTCAAGAAAAAGCAAAACTACGAAATGCATCAAGGATTCGAACCTCCGTCTCACTACACTATGAAGCCATCCACTTACCTGCTGCGCCATCGAGCCACGGCGGCAGCTGGGTCACGAGGGGTTTACGAGCGCAAAGCATGGGCAGGGGGTCGCACCGCAATGGTTAAGCACGGTAGCAAAAAAGGTCCGTAACTCTCCACCCAGAATCGTTTAGCAGATTTGGAAGTCAGATCTGATATCAGCGTCCGAAGACGCTTCTAGGAGTATACATCTCATTCTGAATGGCCAGGACGAGTTGGTATCCTATGACCGTTTAAACAGAGGCTTATTCGCCGCCGATGATTGCCACGGGCGTGTTAGGTGGAAGGTTTGGGAGCAACTCCATCCCTTTTTTTTTCTTCCGGCAAGCAAGAAGACTCTATTATACCATTTGTATAAGTCGTTTTCCACCATTTGTTGTTGCTTACCCGCTTCAAAAACTCAAGAACGGGTTGGCGGTGCACCGGACACAGTCTCACTGACACGCCCATCATCCGCAGTGAACAAGATGTAATTGAGAGCTCTCCCACAAAAATAAAAAGATGCTTTCGGCGTTGATCAGTGCCTTCTTGGTATGCACCATGCAGAAGTACTTTGGATGCGATTTGGCGTATACTTGCGACGGCCAACCGATGTGCGCACCTGTGATTCTATCCGTCCAGACGAATTTGACACCAAACGACCAGTTCAAAAAGACGAAGCTTTCACTGGCTAAGCTAGAGTCGGTCTAGGATATGACTTCCGATCGACCGCATGGTAAGCTGCACCACTTGCCCCACCATTACTCCATCGATGCCCCTTTCACAACAGTACAGATGTAAACTGGGTGACTGATACAAGAAGATAGCGAAAAATAGTGCCGTGAAAGTAATGTAGAAAAAACCTTTTCCTTTTTGAAGAAACCAAGTGAGAAGAAAATATCTCGAATAATCTCCATATCACCAGAATATCTGATCAGTTCACAGGATGCTGCGCTCACTATAGCCACCTGAGCAAAGCTGATTTCCCATAAGCTTTTAGAATTCATAGAAATAGTTTTATAAGAGAAGCTTCACCAACTAACCTGTTCCCGAACTTCCTGTGTAGCTTTTGATAAGAGATATTCGCATGCGAATGTAATAATGTTATCATTCAACCACATTCCAGGATTCAGTGTATACAAATCAGAGGTATACAAAACAACGTCGCCATATGACAAAATCTTACGGTCTTTTTCGACATCTCCAGATCCACGGAAGAGGCTAGAGCACATCTGGAGCACATCAGTGAGGTTTTTCCTGCATAATCTGCAAACTGATAAGGCGCTATGATGCACTTGCATAAGGAACGTCCTTCAACCTATTTCAATCATACAGTAGCTACACAAATTAATAAAGCTTTATGACACGCAAATCGCTACCAGGAAAGTGCTATAATTGGCGGCTGTTGCGGTTGGTGGGGGGCACGAATGACATACAGCTAAAGTTATACAGGCCACCTTGAGGAGACCTGTAAACTCCTGTGACCTAGGTAGGTGGTCGCCCGAACAATTTCGCAGCTTCACAGAAGTGAAAGGTCTGACCAAAAGAAGACCTCTTAGTTAACATGAAAAGAAAAAGAGGAACTAGTGGGAGTGGAAAATACCCCTTCCAAGTCGAACAGCGCTTAAAATTACATAAAAAGGAATCGATGACATAGATGAACAATTTCACAGATTTGAAATATTACAATACATGCATGAAATTCCGTCACTGAAACTGATTCCGACTCTCAGACAAAATGGTTATGCTAGAAGTGAGGAATATGAGTTCTAGTAAAAAGAGCAGTGTTCATTGAGATCACCGGGACGTAAGATGTAAAATGGAGGCGCTAAAGGCAATGAAGAGTACTACATGAAAGATACAAAACTAATCAAAGACACATTCCGAGATTCAGAGAGAAGCAATCCTTTTGATGTACGCAAGCGCACAGTCCTATAGGATTTGCTACGCTCGCGATATGAAGCCTGCGGCAAGGGTGCAACCGGCTTGCGATGGCTGGGAGTTCCGAAGACACTAATCACAAATGTCTGAAAGTCCCCCACTGCAGTCTGACAGAATTTCTCGCTCATTTTACGTCTGCAGCTGTGCAGTTCTCGCTCACCGTCTGGTAGTTCGCACCGTATGCACGTCCAATGCGCAAAACCAATCAGGCCTTACTTGAGGCATTTCCGGTAGTCTCTTTTGCTCTTTTCCTTATTGTCAGGTCGATTAGCTTCTACAAGCTCATAACTGTAACCCTTGGTGGGTAAGTCTTACCTTCGGAATGTGTCCTTAAGAGCCGCAGACAGCGTGAGTACCACTAGGATATAAATGTTGGGCAGAATAAGGACTCAAGACCCAAAAAAGGCAGAGATTGTGCTTATTGAGGAAAGAAAAAAGAGCCGATAACCTTAGACCAGCTCTCGGCTGTACAATGAGGTGAACTGTGCGGGCAAAGAGTCGAGGTTATATGACTGGAAAAAGTGAAGCAGAAAACCTCAGTCGTCCAGGATGATGATGATCTGCTACTAGACATATCGGAAAATCATCTGCGAGAGACAATCCACTGCCTTCCATGGCTATCTGCTTCCGTGTACGAAACATCACAAATCCATGGTTTATCGGCTACTCCATATCTAGGGTGAAGGGATAAATGACTACCCAATGGGAACCCACATAAGGCTCGTGGGTCTCAGTACTGTGCTGGGAAGAGCCGTGCCCAAAAAGAACATGATTACCGTTTTAACTCCTACAAGAACAGCCGTTCTCCCACAGTACTTTTGGGATGGCTCAAAAAAAGCGAATTAGTAAAGAGGTACTCACTTTGCGACAGGATAATCATATGGTAGTTTTACTCGCTCGGGATCCAGAATGAGTACTCCAAGCTCATACGAACGTATCATTTAGTGTGTTTTGTTTTTCTACAATAAGCATAACAAAGATTTGAGCAGTCTTCTTCAATTTGAAAAGATCAATCGGGAATTTTCAATTTGAAAGATAGCAGCAAGCCATGTGTGGGTCACACCCGGTTAAGGATAACCAGATCACCATTAATATCACCGTGCGAAGCCACACGGATATACCATGTATGTTACTTAAGTAGCAACAGCGCGAACCTGAAGTGCACCCCAGGCAGCTTTCGAGAGGTTGGCGCTAGTGACGAGTATCCACTGCGGTACGCCATCCACGATATCAGTATAAGTCTGAAAACAATTCAAACTGAGAAATACTGTGATAACTACTGTTTACCACTGCAGTTCGCGCTTTGAAAGTTATCACGAGAATGTTGAGCCGTGAGCGAAAGTCTGGAGTGCAGGCGGCACTGGAACCCGCCTGGAGTCCAGACTAACGCCTACCGCCGCTTCTTCCTAGCCACTGGGATGAGAGGAAGACAACTGCCTTGGCGCGTAATGGTTAGCGCACCAGCCCAGCAAGCAAGAGGTGCCGGTTTTTGCCCCGGCTGGAGTGCAGACTTTTTCCGAAAACTCAGCATTCTTTTGATAACTAACTTTTACTGTTTAACGAACCAAACAGATCAGAAAAATGCTGAACAAAAAGAACCTTCACGTGAGGCATCGCTTTACTACGACCTTTCGCTTCACTTCGCCATTTACACATAAAATCTCGCAACCATGGCTGCCGTTTTGCTGTTGCATCCTAGAAAGGAAAACCACTGAAACGCTCTTCTCAGCAAACAAATTCTTCTATGGTACCTGATACGGTAACGAATCGCCGGCATTGTAGCCCTCTAACGACATCCTCACATCTTCCACACATGGATAGATAAGATAAAGGCGAGGTGACTCTGAGGAATAAAACTATGATATAAGGGACGATTTTCAAGCAAGTAGTGTGGCAGATCTTACGTGATCCCTTTCCTCCTTGGAGAGATCGTAAAAACTGCGAGAACAGCCACGCTTCCTTGTTATCTCCAAGAGACCCAATAGGAGCTACACTGAGCAAGGAATAAACGACGGCTGTCACGGTTCGGAACTGGACGATCCCGAAGTAGGCGAGCCAGCGATGGATGCCCGAACTAAAAAAATTGGTTGGATCTAGTGAGCATGCAGAATTCTTAGCTTTTTAAGCCTGAAAGAGCAGCGGGTGAACTCACTTTAGTCAACTTGTCAAATTGATGGTAGCCCGGAACGGAATACACTAAGCGGTCAGAAATACCACTGAAGTCACAGTTACGAATACGATCTATCCAGAAGGTGACATCCGGAAGACGATATTCGGCCAAGTATGAACACAAATCGTTGGCGAACTCGCTTGTGTCTGTTGTACTGAAAATGTTCAGCCAACGTTAACATCACTCCAACTCTTATTTCATTCCAACCCACTTTAACCTAAATCTTGGTGAAACCCCCCCCCCTACTCCAAATGGTAGTGAAGCTCGGCTCAGACCCAGAACATACAACGTACGAGGTAGAGCTCATATCTAGGAGATGGGGAGTGGCTGCGTAGTTCACTTAAACATGACACAAAAAGCATGATCGTGAGACAGATCCATCTGAGAAAAATTACTCCCTGGCGTTCGCTGACGCATGTCTATGATAGTCTAATAACAGCAAGATCCCACCAGATGCCACTCGCCGCTGCTTCCGGGTGAAGCATGGGGTTTCCCATCCTTCCCCCCTATACTCCTCGAAATCCGCGTAATTAGGCACTCCTC